TGGTTTAGGTTTTTTTAAATAAAGTTTCAAAAATTTCTATGTATGTGGAAAATGTAGTTGATTACTAAAGGTTACAATTTTTATTTGAAGACTGCATGGTCTAGGAAGTGTACATTTTTTTATGGGGCAAGTTTCCAAGGGCGGGTTTTCTAGGGGCGAGTCGACTGCCAAAGAGTGTTGCCAAAGTGCGAGCCAGCGTGTTATCTGATCACAAGTGCAAGACACATCAAAAGTGTGAGCCAGCGAGCCGTGACGTCACGACAATAGATAGAGACGTTAGCCAGTGCAGTTGTGCGAGGTATCGGCTGAGATTTGTGGAGTAGCCTACAATTCAAAAAACAACTATAGGTCTAATAATGAATTATTGTGATGTTAAATAGACAATGTTAGCTATCAAAGAGCGACGTTGTTTTTCATTGGGGCCTTCGTCCCTTCAAGGCTTGGCCTATACCATCCTAGATAGTCTAGGCCTAGAGTAGGATAAGGCTAGCGCGACATGCGGACGTTGGTACGAGTAGGTTAGTCTACAAACGTCGCCTAAAGTAATTGATTTTACCCGGCAGAACGAAAGAAGGAAACTCCGCTCGTCTTAGGCCCTTGTTTTTTGACAAACAATGACCTTTCAGAGGTCAAATTGCTGTCAAGAATATGAAAATATACTGTATCTCTGTTGTGGAGGTATAAACAACTTATGATCAGCCGATGTAGAATAGAATGGAAACATTTTGTTTAGCATACAAATTGAAATAGAAATGCTTTTTTTTTTGTTTGTTTTAAGCTTCTCTTAACCACTTGTTTATGTATCAGAAAATCTAAATTGTAAGTTGTTGGTCTTACTGTGTTTCTCTGAGTTGTCACCTCATCTGCAGACACATACATATAATTTTCTGTCATAAGAAGAGCATCACTATTTGTGTCCTCATTTCGTAATAGTGTCACCGCATCTTTCATGTCATCAGTCTGCAAATTTAATAATATACATTGTTAGTACTGTATTTTCATGCTATGGTATTCCAAACTTATTAAATCTTCCTCATGCACAGTTATAACAAAGTACATCAAAATAATTATCAACTTTTAATAATAATAATAATGATAATAATGGTAATAATAATAACTATATTTACTATGTATGTTTCTACAACAGAACATAGGGCTTTTAATCATTGCCATAATGAGAATTGATGTTGAAATTACAAACAATAAAGACTCATTTAAAAAGTCTAGCGTAAAGTAAAACATAAACACCAACTCCATATCAGGGAAACGTGGAACTATGACTGCTATTAATATTCAAATTATGTAGAATGATATCATGTTTTGATATGCACATCATTGATATGGTCTTTGCTTGGACAATTAAGAAGATTCAAGCATGGAAAATGACCATACTGCCGGTCAGAGACACTGTGCAAAAAAAGAAAAATGGGATGTAAGAAGAAAAATAAATTAAAACAAAAACAACAGCTATTTTCAAAAGAAAAAATAAAGTATAAAAAAATATTTTTTTTAAGCCATTGCACAACTCATCAAAATTTCTTCGCAACCCAAACATTGGGTCGCGACTCACAGGTGGCGAAACTGAGATTTAGACCCATTGATTAGGTGTTTGTGATATTTAGTACCATCCAGAAATCATTAGCCATCCACTCGCGGTTTTTCCGCCTATGAAATTCGGGTGACACGCGGTTAATTAGTTAGTAATAAGACCACCCATATTCAGTCAACCGTTAAGGCATTGAGTAATTCATGTCTTCAACGAACTGCCTAGGGATTTTTACGTTCAACAAATTGGTATGTGTTGTTTATCAGATAGACAAACGACAGAGCCTGTCGTTATTACGGAACAATGCAACTGGGAATAAACTTTGTACT